CCTTCTCTCTTTTTCTCCTCTTTCTCTGGTCTGTCACACCACTGAAATAAACATCTCTTGGTCGCTCCAAGTGTCGTGGTCAATTTCCTTTCAAGAATATTAAACACAAATGTTGAGACTGAATTTTATTTGTCTTTTGTCTCTCCTTTTATTAAATTCTTAAGAAAAGCTTTCAAGTTTTACCATATTTAGCTCTAGTATTTTTATAGGTGTGTTTTCATCATACTGGTGTATACACAGGACCCCCTCCTCCACCGAAAATCTTATCTTCTCCAGAAATCTTGACCTTAATTTCTTTTAGGACTATTAGCAAAAGATTCTCTACAAAAGAGTTCAATGTAGATAAACTTACTATTTTCCTGTTATTCTATTATTTGCCCACTGGCCTGTAAGAAATCAGCACCTCTGGTGTTTGATGCCCCTTTACTGGTTTATCACAAACATTTATTCAGTACAGTAGTTTGTAAAAGTGTGTTTGCAAATGCAAATTGTGATTTAAAAAAGACAAATCCTTTAACAAGTCCTCTGGCCTTGAGCTGGAGCTTCACAGAGAGTCTATATTTCTAATATAAGAGAAGTTACCAATTGGGCTCCATGGTAACAGCTGGCAGGGGAGGAAAGAAAGGGGAGAAGCAGCTCTCCCCTTCTCAGGTGTTGTCCTTGAAGGGTTAACTTGCCCAAAACAGTGAGGGAAAAAGCTGCTTTTATGTGAACTTCTGCAGACTGTGAACTTCTGAGCCCCTCCCCTTAAATGTTGGGATAAAATTCTGAAACTACTTGAACTTGGGGTTCAGGGGATTAATTGACCACAGCAAAAGCTGTGCGCTGTGAACCTGGCTGCAGACAAATTAAACTATTTCCTATCTTAGGTACTTAGCTGCTTCATCTGTCCCTACAACAGAGGAAGTTTCCTTCTAGTCCTATTTTGCTGAGGGTTTTTTTTTTTTTTTTTTTTTTTTTGTGTGTGTGTGTGTGTGTGTGTGTTGTTGTTGTTGTTTTTGTTTTTGTTTTTAACCTGATGTTTGTTAACCTGGAGTTTATTTTCTGCTTGGAGCAAGGCACAATTATGGGGGTCAGGAAAGGCCACTGCGGTTTGGAGAGGAGGGGTCTCTGGCAACGTGCCTGTCATCTTCATGTGGAAGAATCCAGCTGGTCTCTGCTTGCCTAGCCTACCAGTTGGAGTGGGCAAGAGACAACGTAGCACCTTGGAAACACCCATCAGTGGACCACCAGATCAGGACTGAGGCCTGGCTCCGCTGGCTGACCAGCTGCTTCCTCATGGTTTCTGGAGCCAGGTCACTGGTGACCATGTTGGTGAAGGTGGATTCCGAGTGTTCTGGGGACTCCCAATACTGTGGCCATGAATGGAGTAGTGGACTTCCCAAAGAAGCAGCTGGCCCACCAGTGACCTGGGTGGCCTTGAGGAGACGCCGGTAGTAGTCATGAGTTGTCAGGAGTGAGTCACTGGAGAGGATGACCACTATGTTTTACCTATAGGTTATAAATAAACCTGTAAATTAACACCTATAAATAAACCTGGTTCAGGCTCCATTTCTTTGTTAAAAGCTATACCCGTCTGATCACCTTGGTCTGTGGCTGCCTCTACTACTCTGAAATTATGTTTTTGTTTTCTGTGATTATTTCCTAGTACTACTTTTCTTACCTTTTATTTCTCAGCCAGCCCATCTCTTCAGAGGGGAACCATTTCCCTTGAATCCTTTCCCTTGCCCACATGGGACATGGGTGAGAATCTAATTGATTTCTAATTGACTACCATCATAGTCAGTGAACAGAACTGCATATAACTTAAATCTTTACATTATAAAGATTATCTTTATAGCCACAAATGAGGTCTATCTTGGTAACTATTTTGTGATTCAATAAAAATTTATGAATATATATCATTCTGAAAAAATCCATTGTAGCATAAAGAATAGATGGAATTTCTTGGTTGCTATTTTATCTCTATAGACAAATTCTTAGGCATATAAATTCCCAGTAGATATTTGTTGAATGAATGAAGGAAATAACTTTCCATTAAAATTTCAAACCTAAATAGATTGGCAAGGGGTAATCCTACTGGGTTCTACACTTTCAATACCTTTCTTCCCCATCATCATATAAATGACTATTTTATTATAATGATGATCACAACTTCTGCTCCTGCAGCACATTACTCTCCTTACCCTTGGCATCTATCAATAATCTGATCAAGGATCATCACTCTTTTAAAGATATTGGAACCTGACTTGGTCTTTCTTTCTGTAAGGACTCATACACAATCTCAAGTGATTGATTTGGGATTCAGTTTACATTGTCACAATATAACATGTTATTCTCAAACTAAGCAGAAATTGGAATAGTAAAAACCTGATTATCTATAAAATAGATCATACAAAAAACATAATCCTATGACTGAATATTAATTCTTATATATTTAATGAATATTTCAGTCAGGGGCTGTATATATTATCTGAAATAATATTGTGTCTCTAAATGTTATAGCAGAGTTTGTAATGGAGAAAGAAATTGGCGTGTGTGTGTGTGTGTGTGTGTGTGTATGTAATATTTATTCATTTGACATTGATATTTTTTTACTAGACTTTCAAAATTCAGTGATCCTGCTTTAAAGTTTGCAGCTAAAAGTTGGTCCTGTTGACAGCTGCTGCCCAGTAAAATTTTTGGATGAGGAAAGAAAAATATAAATGCTATAGCTTGTTTGCTGAGCATTTAATTGTGTTCCAAAAATATGTTGAAGTGTTCAATCCTGGTATTTTAATGTGACTTTATTTGAAAACAGGGTCTTTGCAGATTTAATTTTAGCATTTTTATGAGGTTTTAATGACAATTTCTCATTTTGTTATTATGGTCAGAGGATTTAGCTATTATGGGTGAATATATTTTTTTATCTCAATGTGAATTCGGCCTTTAACATATCTGTGACAGTTTTTCCATAAGGGTTAAAGATATATATTTTATGAATTCTGGTTACACAGTTTATAAGTGCCAGGTTTCTGTTCTCGCGACTAAAAGGCTCAGGGGTCACTCTAATTAAACTGGGCTAACTGGGCTGCACGAAATAACCACACAAGAGACACAAATACCTTTTTCTTTGGGGTCACTGTGACGGCTCCTCTGACCTTAAGGGTCTGCAGAAAGAGAGAGAGCGAGAGCACGCACTGACCCCTTTTATTGAGGAGAAGCTATTCAAATGAGGCAAGGGGTCAGGTTTCAGGGGGCTGAGTCTATCTTCATGATGTCCACTGTCAGCAGGTTGACTGACACCTGGGTAGGCCACACCCAAGGGCACAGTAAGAGAAGGGGACACACACAAGGCACTTCCATGGAAGATTCTATCCTAAACAGGCAAGGGGTTATATTACAAAGGAACAGGTGAGCATAGCTTCACCCATGGGGCTGTAGCAAGACACACCTATTTCTGTGACTGAGGCCTCAGCACCCAGCTGGGGAGTATAACTCAGTCACCCGTAAGGTTGGCTTCCCACATATAAGTATGTAGTAGTCAAACTTGTTAGTTATGTTCCTTATATCCCTATAGAGACATAAAATAGGTATATGCTTTTCTAGGAATAGTAAAAGAAAAAAAATATGGACAGCGATTTTTAATCATGTCTGTCTTGGAAAGTTTATTTAAAGCATTAGAAGAAGGAAGAAGCAGACACTGTAGCTTGAGCTGAGAAAGCTGAACTGCTCTTTACTGATTCAAA